ATTTCTAAAAACCTTATTGGAACATAGAACTTTTTGTGCCCACTGGGATACTAAACAATTTAGTAAATATTTTGACGTGACAAATTAGATATTCTTGCCACTAGAACATATCGGATTAATGTATTTTTTCTGCTATACAAGAGCAATTTTTATTATTGTTAGTTTTAGATTAATTTTTTCAAAATGTGTATTCTCTTCTTTGTTTGTTCAAAAAATTTCTTTCACATGGAAATTTGATAATAATAATTATTAATAATAATAATTACCGAAAATTTTTTTGTTATCAATTTATGGTTTATAATAATTTTAAAGTTACAAAATTTTTTTAAATAAATAATTAAAAAAATCGAGTTCGAAAAATTTTGGTATTACAATACTTTCTCCATGAGAATAAGCAAAATTAATAGAGAATTTAGAAACATTGATATAAAAATCGACGAATTCGGAAATATTTGATTCTTTGAAAGAATATTAAACATTCAATTGTTTCTATTGTTTCCTTAAAGAAGGAAAATTCGATTTTCAATGTGTATTGCGATAAACTCACTTTATTCTCCATTTTGTATTTACAATTCAATAGATTCGATATAAAGTGTGCGCACAAGTTGCAGCTTACATGTTTATGCGTCTCCACGCGTATTCAGATCAAATTCATTCAGATACATTGTTTTTTTTTTTATTGAATTTCAATGTACATTTGGTAGTGGCAATTTCGATGGAATTTCGCTGATAAAGAAGAAGAGGAACGGGTGATATGTATAAGAATTTTGCTGTTTTTGAAAAGATACTTAACATATAAGAGTTTTTCTGATCGGAATAAGAAATTCCCTTTTCAAATATTGTTTAATTGTTAAAATAATTTTTTTTTTTGCATAAAATTTCGTAAATTCACTTAACAATATTTAATTTTACATTCACAAAGCAATGTTAAAAAAAATCCGAATGTTTCCAATTAAATATACATTTAGTAATTTTTAAATTTATGATACATAACCTTAAAATATATTTTATTTACATTTTTTCTTTAAATAAATTTTGAAATTAATGAAATAAACATTTCGTTTAATAAATTTAAACAAAAATATTGAATTTTCAACAATTACACTAAGTTTACCACATTTTTTTAGGTTACATTTTTATTGAATATTCAATCGTTGTACCGCTGATGCAATTTCGTTGTTCAATTGAAAATTCAATAAATACAGTAAAGTTACAAGTATTAACTAATTAAATTTCCTTAAATTTAGTAATATTCATGTTAGAATTTTAACTTAATACAGAGAATTTACGCACAAAGACTGGATTGAGAAATAAATAGTATAGGCTTTATTTGACAACGGGTAAACGAGGACTGACTTCAAATTATCTGAGTACAGACCATCACTATTTTTATATAGAAAATAAATATGTCGTAAATATATAGTTGTAGTTCCAACAATTCATATGTAGGTGATTTTCTATTAAAGTTTTTTACTTTGTTTGCAAATTTCAATAAAAACTTTTTAAAGAGAAAAAAGTCATGTCAGCAAGGTTGTGATACTTAAGGTAATTTGATAATAAAGGCGCTACCACCAGGGATGGGTAGAAAGCGCGCTCAGCTTTGAGGACCGTCTACAATGCACGATTTGTATCATTAGACTAACGTTACAATTCTGAGTTTCTATCATTGTTAACTACATTTTTTTATCACTACTAAAAATATTTAACGCCCGTTTTATCATTTATAGAGTTTAAATTTTTGTACTTTTCAATTTTATACTTGAAACTAAAAAACCTACATATAAAAATAAACCAAATTTTTTTTTTTTGAGGTTACGTTTTAAAAACCCACTATTAATGTTTATCTTTAAAAATTTTACTTCCTAAAGTTGATTTAATGAAAGAAATTTATTTCCACAGTAAAAAAAAATTATTTTTCTTGACAATTTCTTCGATATTTTGAAATCGTCTATATATATAAACGACAAGCGAGAGGAGAATGGAAGAGGAAAGTAAAGGTATATACGATTTAAAACGAATAGTGAATGATGTCGCTGGATAAAATTCCCACGATCGTGCAAGAAACTATAAAAGGTGCCTACTACTTCACTGTGGTTGCAACGTCACTTGCAGCCCTCCCATATTTTTCCTGATGCTTGAGCAAGGAAAAAGTTATGGCGCCTGAAGGAAAGAGTCTTCTAGGCCCGAGAAGGAGTTCTTTCTCTCTCTCTCTGTCTCGTTCAAGAGTCACTTGAAGTCAACCGTCAGAAGCTGATCCCCGATCTTTTCAAGATCGTTAATCGGTACAAGGAGGTCGTTTCGCGAGCATCTTATTCAACGAAATGTCTGCCACAGATTTTCCAAACTGTCCCTCAAAAAAAAAAAAAAAAATACTTTTTTTTTATTATCCCACCATTTTTTATCGCTTCATAAAAGTCCATAAAAATGTGTCCTTCCACATTTGCTTCATACATACAATTTTTCTTCAATTGAGTATTTTCTAAATGTCCCCACGATAAAATCTTTTGTGAATTTTAGAAGAAATAACAAAAATTCTAGTTAAATGAAAATTGACTATTTAATTATTTTTCAAAAATTTTATCAGAAAACATATTTTACCATCAAAATGGATTTATATATATATGTGTGGGTGGTCGTTCATCTTATCGATTTTGACATAAAAAGGGAGGAATAAAAAGAAAAAAAAACGAGAAAAAAATGAAATAAAAGTATATATAGTGAACCGACCGGAAATGGTTCCGTGGTCATTGAGCAGTGGGCAGTTTGGGTATATAAATGTTAGTGGAGGACACACAAATATATATATGTGAGGGTTGTAGTAACCAAGATTGTTCCCTGGCGCTCTTCAGTCTGCCTCATCGTTTTCTGGGAGAGATTCCAGAAAACTGGAGACCAGATTCTCATTGGTTGGCGCAGCACTCAACCTCGACCAATCCACTTTCGTTCTGATAACCGCGCCATTCGCCTCGTTCCGCCTCCTCAAGACGCGCTCTTATAACACACATATATATAGCACACTAGTTCGGGGTGGCTATCCCTGTAACCACCCACCCCTTGATGCTTTGGCCGTCCTCTATTACACCCCTATATTGGAACTTTCAGACTTGCTGGTCATCCCTTTTTCAATTCTAGACTCATCCCCAAACACCCCCTTTTCACCCCCCCCCTCTATCCGCCTTTTACCATTCAACCTATACCAATTTCTCGATAAATAAACCGATCGGGACAAAGAAACCTCTTTATTAAAGATTATCATATTTTTATTTTTAGCATTTTATCTTTCTTTATTTAGTAAATTTAGTTTTTTGTCATTTTTTGTTCTATTTTGACTGAAGGAATATTTTGGAATTTTTTTTTTAGGTGAAAAGATAAAATAGCTATGGTTATTTGTTTCTTAAGTTTGTAAAAATATTTTAGATCGATTAGGAGGTTAAAAATTGTTTAAGTGGTTAATTTTTGTGTAACTAATGGAAATTTTTTTGTAAACTAACAAAATAGATATGTATTATTAAAGAAAGTAGGAGCATAACCTCAAAAAGTCCCATTTTGATCCCAATTTGTCGAAAATATTCTAAAAGTAAGGAAATGGGAAAGCATTTGGATTGTTTTGATAAAATTACCTCAAAAACAAGTTGATTTTAGATTCTATAACACAATGTAAATATTAAAGTAAAAGAGGTGAAAAGCATAAGGAGGAATTTGATAAAATAACATAAAAGAAATTCATGGAAAATAGTTTTTAAAAAAATGTTTGATTGAAAGTTAAAAAAAATAGATTTTTAAAAACCAGAAAAGACATTTGCATTGAAAAATATCAGATGCACTTTCTGATGATAATGTTACCAAAATTTATTTTCAATTGAAAAAAAATTGTTTTTTGAAAACCAGAAAAGACATAATTTAAGTTTTAAAAATATCCTAATCACTTGCTAATGAATGCCAAACAAAATGTTCCGTTGTTCGTAAAGTGTGAGAGTGTAAATATTTTTTTGTTTTTCTAACAAGTAAGTTTTATTAATTATTATTTATATGTTATTATTACTATTAAATAAAATTATTTAAATTTTGAAAACTTAATGTAAATTTGAATTTAAGTAAAATTTGATAAAAAATAAAAAGTGGTTTTTTGAAAACCAGAAAAGACATTTTCATTTTAACTACTTGCTGATGATGCCAAACAAAATGTTCAGTTGTTCGTGAAGTATGACAGTGTAAATATTTCAGTTATTCTACCAAGTAAGTTTCATTTATTATTATTATTTAATTATTTAAATTTAAAAACTTAATGTAAATTTTAATTAAAATTAAAAAAAAGATTTTTTTGAAAACCAGAAAAGACATTTTTATTTAAGTTTCAAAAATATCATAATCACTTGCTGATGATGCCAAACAAAATGTTCAGTTGTTCGTGATGTGTGACAGTATAAATATTTTAGGGAGTCTAGAAGTAAGTTTTATTAATTACTTATATTTTATTATTATTATTACATTAAATTATTTAAATTTTCATTATTACATTATTTTCCATCCAAAAAAAAAATAAAAAAAAGGGTTTTTTGAAAACCAGAAAAGACATTTGTGATAGCATTCAGGAAATATCAGAAGTTCTTGCCAATGAAACCAAACTTTATGTTTGATTGAAAGTATAAAAATTATTTTAGAAAATCAGAAAAGACATCTCGTTAAAACAAATTTATATTTCTCGTATTCAAAGTAACAGTAGTAGTAGTAATAGTAGTAGAAGTAGTACTAGTAGTAATAGTAGTATAGTAGTAGTACTATAGTGGTAGTAGTAGTAATATTACTAGCAGTAACAGTAGTTGTCATTTTATAAAATGACCTCAAAAAAATATTGTTTTTTAATTCTAAATACAACTTAAAAATTAAAGTAAAACATCGAAAAAAAATAAAACGAATTTTATAAAATAACCTAACAAAATTTTCAAGAAAAACAGTTTTATAAAAAACGTAATGTAAAAAACTTAAAAAAAAGATCTCTTTTTTACACATTGTTAACTATTTTTATTTATGTATACAATCTTTTATTTTGAAGCTTTTTAAAATTTTTACAATAAGTATTTTATGATGGTACTACACTTTGGTTATATAACGATCGTTGGCATGTAGAAATGCAAGTAGTGTATAATTGATCGGAGAGGTTGACAAGATAAAGGACGCTGATAAGGTTCGCCTTCCTCTCTCTCTCTCTCTCTCTCTCTCTCACTCTTTTGAAGAAAATACAACGGTGATGTGTGCGTGACTCTTAAGTCACGTGACGCGTGTAATAACCGTAGCAAGGTTCTCGCACGCACCCCTCCAGGAAATACCACAGGGTTGGGCAAGTTAAAACTAGTGGCGTACGACAGGTGTCTCAAATTTCCCCTCCCTCTGTGATTGGTCCTTTCATAAAGCGTCAATCTGAAACATAAACTTCATTAAATTATTTTTTCATTTTGGTTGCAATTTTTTTTTCACTTTGATTTAAAAGCCCGCATCTTATATATATATATATATATATATAGGCGGTGGCCTACTTATGTCTGATTAAGAAATTAATTCAAATCTCGATTAAATCTGGAATATATTTCCGTCTTTCTTCAACAGTCCAACGTGCATCTAATATATGGACCCCTCGTGTCCCAGATTAACAAATTATTCCTTGCGAACAATTTGCAAACCCCTATCGCACGCACGCCTCACTTTTATAAATCAATCATATTTTCTTTTTAACCCTGCTGATATATATATTATTATCAAGTTACAATGTTTGATTGCTAATTATTATTTTTAATTTGTTTTATTAAATGTTTTTACTTTTTTTGTTGCAGGAATTATTCTTCGAGTAAAATCAGGTCGAACGGGTAATCATTTAATGGAGTTGGAGGATGATAATTGAAAAAATCTGGAGCGTCAGTGAGTCTAGCAAGTAAGTTTTAATAAATATTATTTAAATTTATATTTTATTAAAACTATTATTATTTTTATTTTTATGATTACATTAAATTATTTAAATTTAAAAACTTAATGTAAATTTCAAATTAAATAAAATTTGATAGAAAATAAAAAGAAAGGTTTTCTTTGAAAACCAGAAAAGACAATTTTCAATTAAATTTCAAAAATATCAATCACAAGCTGATGATACCAAAAATTTATGTTTGAATGAAAAGAAAAAAAGGGTTTCTTTGAAAACCAGAAAAGACATTTTCATTCAAAAATATCAGAAGCATTCGAAAAATATCAGAATCGCTATCTGATGATGCCAAACAAATTTATGTCTGATAGAAAATAAAAAAAAATGTTAAAATAATAATTCAGATAATACAAAAACATTACTTTCTTATCTATTAAGACTACTTTCATTTGAGAATAATTAGAAAATTTGGTGACAGCGGTGGGATCACCATATATGGACTTTATATTCAAATTGTTACTAGATATATAGAGGAATTATTTGGATGATTGAGTGGGAAATTTATAGCGCGGGATTGTCAGTAATCATACGTCGAATGGAGACGTTTTGTCGCACGGCAGCTTGTATAGATTACAGGTTTAATTAGCTGGGGATTACATAATTAATTACTTAGGGGATTATAATGCACCCGAGGCGGAACGTCTGCTCGATGAACCATTCGTCCCAAGCCTGTCCAAGCTGTTCAGTTATAATTACAATCGCGATAGTTTCGTTTATACTGTTGTTGGGAACATTCTGAGATAATTTCGTATTCCAACCGGAAAAGGGAAGTTTGTCCCTCTTGATTTGGTTGATGATTATTATCATTGGTCTGTTGAATTTCGATTAATAATTTACTAAGCTTGTCTATAACTTACATAATCAAGTTTGTCGATGTGACAAAATATAAATTAAATAACAAAAAGAAAAAAAAAGAAGTGAATTAAAAGAATGTGTTAATATTGTATGAAAGCTTGAGAGAAAGAAACTGATTTTCGTGGACATGGAGGCAATTGAATTATGTTGATTTTATTCTGCTTTATTCCACCCCACTTAGTTTTATTTCTGCTTTCCCTGAGTCTCGCTCGCTGGATTACCGTCATTGCGGTTTTTAAGCAGGCAATTTCCTAATTCGGTACCTCGTATTTCCTGATTTATTACCTCATGCTACTTCACTCTATCGTGATTTAAGGAAACGGATCTGTCACTATACAGGTTTTGCTCTTCTTTTCCTTTTTGTTTTCGAAGATTCAATCCAATTTTCTATTCTTAATGTTTTAGTATGTGTATCCAAAGGAAACGATTTATCTAATTTAAATTGTGAATAAAAATTTTGTTTTTCATGAATGATCAATTTAAAATCAAAAATAGCATAATGCCACCAAACATGGTCTTTATAACAATATCTCCTCGGTATGACAATATATACCTTAAACGCACCAAACATGAGGGGTCAGGCACCCTTCTCAAATGTGTTCCTTTCTTTTTCGTTTCCATCGATCATTGATATAAACTGCCTTTCATCTCTTGTCAGTGATTTTGTTCGTTTCATAAAAAAAAACCTCATTATGATAGATATTTTCCTTAAATACATTTTTATTATTAATTTTTTTCTAAATATCTTTATTTGTATATCCCTTTTTAACTGAGACTTTTTTTTTTGGTTCTCAAGAGCGCTTTTAATTTTAGAGGCAATTGCAATTTGAATTTTTAATATCGTGGTAAGTGAGATGATGGTGTGTTGGCCCTATGCAAATGAGAAAAGGGTACTTCCATTGGTCAACGTTGAGGGTAACTCAAGAATTTCAAGTACAACCTTTTGGAAATCCCTGAGGATTCTTGTTTTTTTTTTCTTTTTTTTTTGGGTCGTACCACAAACCCTAGGAACACTCATTATTGCGCTTTCCAGCTTTCATGGAAAACACTTATGGGATACTCCTGTTAGAGATAGAGGATACACACAGGATCCCTTCATTGATCCCGCATAAATCGACCTTCTCCGGGCGTTAATTGACCCTTTATAGTTGACACTACATCAATTTATTTGCGGGGCAATATATATCCCTTAGCACAAAAGGAATTACTTCATCATTAGGTGTTTGTGTGACTTCCGTGAAGAAAAAAAAATTTATTATTATTTTGTCGTGATTGTGGTGAAATATTAATTAAATTCAAATGGAATTATGATGAATACGAGAATATTTTTGGAATATTAGAAACACTTGCTGATGATGCCAAATAAATTTATCTTGTATAGAAAATTAAAAAAAAGGTTTTTTTGAAAACTAGAAAAGACACTTTTCTTTGAATTTAAAAAATATCCGAATTTGATGATGATGATGCCAAACAAAATGTTCAGTTTTTGGCGATTTGTGACAGTGTGAACATCTTAGTCAATTAAGTAGGTAAGTTATTAATTATAAATATTACTTTATTACTATTATTGTACAAATAATAATTATTGACAAACAAAATATTCGAAGTATGTCAGTGTAGATATTTTCGTGATTCTAGCAAGTACATTTTATTAGTTATTATTTATTTTTTTTATTATTTTTATAATTGCAGTAAATTATTTAAATGTAAAAACTTAATGTGAATTTCAATTTAAATAAAATTTGATAGAAAATAAGAAGAAAGGTTTTCTTTGAAAACCAGAAAAGACATTTTCATAGTAGTACTAGTAGTAGCCAATCTAAAAAAGAAATCATGAAAAATATCCTCAATCCAGAGAAAAGCTAACATCGTTATTATAATAACGTTCTTAATTTTCCAACAACGTCAACTCCACTATTATAATAATTGTTGTTATTAAATCCCCTAAACGTTCCAACGTTTTATCAGTGGGCTATCGTTATATGTTATACTGGCTTTATTATGCCATAGGCGTCAGCGCAAAAAGAGAAAAAAAAATCCTATGGGTTTATTCTTTAAAAGTGTGTACATTACACACATATGTGGATATAACATACTGCACGCGTGATGCATTTGCGTGTCGGAAGACGATTGCCGTCACAAAGTGACTATTATATCGAAATCAAGATCCCGATAACAATATACCGAACACACCTATACATATATAGTATTCTTATTTTCTTGAAAATTTTTTTTACCTTTTTTCATATATAGTACTAAAAAAGTTCCCGAAAAAAATAGTTTCACATTCATTTTTCAGTAGTAGAATAATTTTTATTTCTACTTCCTATAGTACGTAGAAAAGCAATTAGAGCCTCATTTGAAACACACATCAAAAACGATGTTAAAATCCAAAGATAAGGGTCTTTAAAGTCATTCCGGAACATTGGAGGTCGTGGTCGATGTTAGTCACTTTACATTTTCACCGTCAAACATTGAAGTTGGCCTTTTATTCCTTTGGCGTGAGGGCTGCTCTTTCCTTGACTTGCACATGTGCCCCTAACCCTAAATGATTAATTACCGACCTCCATATATACACTGCAATGCTACTATATACCATATCATGGTATCGTGGCCTTAAGACCGTGTGGTAGGCTCATTTCTAAAACGGATATTCCGTGTTGAATTTGATTCGTCGTCGTCGTCGACGTTCTTGTAATACAACCACTATTTGCCATTTTCAAATCTACTTTCGTCGCCGGTTTAAATCTCTTGTCTTTTTTGATAATAAATTACTCTAAAAAAAAAATTTTTTTTCAATTTTCAACACACCTCAAAAAATGGGATCGATGCCTCGTTAGCGATTCTGTGGAATCATATTTGAGCAAATAATTCGTTAGGACCTTCGTTTCAGTGCGGGTTGTTCGTTAGTATAATTAAAATAAATTCAAATGACTCCCTTGTCCTTCGCCTTTGCTCTCCGGTAGTAGTCGTCCGTTGTCGCTCACGATTTTCTTTTCCCTTTCGCTGTATCTTCTTCTTCTTCTTCTTATATATCTTGTCGCAAACCTTCTTAAATCCGTTGATTAGTGCAAAAATCCGCTTACAAATTAAATAAAGCTTTCTTAAACACCGTAACGCGAAGTCTGGGTTGAAGAAAATGCAGAGTAGCTCTACACTACGGCAGCGTTGTTCCAAAAAGAGAGGGGTGAGGAAAGAAAAGCGTAGACGGAAGAAAGAGGAGCTTTAATATCTTAAGTAAACCTCGTTGGAGTTGAAAAAAAGAGAGAAAGAAAAAAAAACCGCGAAGTAAAAAGAAATCGCGCCCAGTATAGAAGAGAGGATACACAAATGCCGAATTAAAATACTTTGGAAAACGAAAAACTCGGTAATTCTATATATAGAAGGGTCTCTTTGTATTTATTTAAAGAATTGTCTTTTTTTTTAAGCGAAGGAAAATATAATTCAAGATTTATATCTTATCAGAAGAAGTGGTTGTAGAGATAAGATTCTTTTTTTTTGGTTTAAAATTGCAAGAACAAAATTTTGTTTATATTTCAACGTTAATTGACGACAGGTGTTAATTTGTAGTTGTGGCTCGATCGGTATTTAC